GAACCACCTTAAAAGGAGCAGGGTTGAAGTTGGTAGACAGCTTGTTCGTTTTTTCGGCTTTCAAAAGTACTGTGTCACCAACACGTATGCTCTTGGGCGTGGCACCTCTCTTGAGATCTGCATAAGCTTTGCCCTTTAATTTACTTGACCAATCCCGCTCTCGCACTTCTTCGCCTGGCACCCCGACCGTCTCTCTCCTTAACTCTGGCAATTTGGACCTAACCTCGTGGCCAAACATCATGTAACAGGGGGTAGTCCCCGTCGACGTTTGCGGAGTGGATCTGTACGCCATCAACCATACAAGCAATTCAGTTCTCCAGTTCTTTCCTTCTAAATGTGCAATCTGTAGACATTTAAGTAACGAGCGATTTTGGCGTTCCACCTCTCCATTAGCTTGAGGCCACAACGGCGTCGTTTTCCTGTGCTCAATACCATTTGCGCGTAAATATGCTTCAAATTCTTCGGATACGAACTGGGGCCCATTATCTGTCCTTAAAGAGAACGGAAAACCGAATCTGGCAAACATGGGTGCAAGTGCTTCGATGACCTTGGCACTTGTAGTAGACTTCAGAATAGCAACTTCTAAGAAACGACTGTAGTAATCGATCACCACCAAAATACTCTCTCCTGTGGGTAGGGGTCCCAGCAGGTCTGCTCCACAATCCTGCCAAGGAGCACTCGGAGGAAGAACGCGGGACATCGGCTCAGGAGGGTTAAATCCAGAAGTGACCTGGCAGCCATGACAAACTTTACAAAATTTCTCAACTTCCTTGTCCATTCCCGGCCACCAAACTTTACTACGGAGCCGATACTTCGTCTTCACTATACCCTGGTGCCCTTCGTGTGCCAGCCGCACCACCCTGTCGCGCAGGAGCTTGGGAACCACAATCCTTGTGCCGCGAAGCAATAGCTCACCATAGACGCATAATTCGTCCTTGACTTGTGCATACGAGGGAAGTGTACACCGGTCCCAGTCCCCTGACCTCACGCAACTCTTTACTATCGTCAATTCTTCGTCAAAATAGGAAGCTTCTTCAATTTCTGTAGGTGATAGAGCAACGGGTATACAGCTTATAGCAATGGCTCTGACAAAGTCGTAGTCTTCTCCATGGTCCACTTGATCCAAGGAGTTCAAACGGGACAACGCGTCGGCTATATTTGTCTTCCCTGGGCGGTACACCACTTTAAAATCGTACCCTTGTAGTCTTAAGACCCATCTCTCTATTCGGGCGCAAGGCTTTGAAGTGCGCGAGTAGACACGCTCTAAAGGCTTGTGATCTGTTTCCAACTCGAAGCTCTGTCCGGAAACGTACATGTTGAACCGTTCACACGCCCAAACCAAGGCAAGTGCCTCTTTCTCTGTTTGGCTGTAGCGTCGTTCCACGTCAGTTAGGCTCCTCGACGCGTAGGAGACAACTCTCCACATTCCCCCCTGCTGCTGGGTGAGAACCGCTCCTAATCCAACTGGAGATGCATCGGCAATGATTCGCGTTCTGCAGCCAACCTTAAAATAAGCCAGTGTCTCTGCCTGGGTGATTAGACGCTTCAGTTCCTCAAAGGCTGTTTGTTGCTCTTTACCCCAGTGAAACACGATGCCCTTCCTGGTTAACTCTTGAATAGGCTTGGCCACGGACGCCACGTCAGGCATGAACTTAGCGGAATATTGGACAAGACCCATAAACGATCGCACTTCACTTGCGTCTTTGGGAGATCTAGCATCTCTTATAGCAGCAATCTTCTCTTCGGATGGGTTTATGCCGTCACTAGTCAGCTCGTGACCAAAGAACGTAAGCCTTGACAATCTAAACTCGCACTTGTCTCCGTTCACCGTCAACCCCACTTCACTCAGCCTATCTAACACCGCAAAAAGACGCTTGTCATGTTCCTCCACGTCACACCCATGAACAATGAGATCGTCCGCAATGTTCGCAACCCCAGCACAACCCCTTAACACATCTCTAATGATCTGCTGATATTTCTCCGGCGCCGACGTTACGCCAAACATCAACCGCTTGTAACGATAAAGCCCTCGATGCGTGGCAAAGGTAGTGATGTGGCGACTTTCCTCACTGAGTAAAATCTGGTGAAAACCCCACTTGAGATCTATCTTGCTGAACACCGTACTGCCATTCAAGTCGTGTAACAGCTCCTCAACGGTTGGAATTGGGTGACGCTCTCGGACGATTGCTTCATTTGCACGACGCATATCAACACAGACTCTTACGTCGCCATCGCTTTTGGGAACCACCACCAACGGCGAAATCCATCCTGACGGCCCCTCCGGCACTTCCTCTATAATGTCAAGCTCCAAAAGTTCATCCAGCTTTGCATCCACCTTCTCGCGTAACCCGAACGGTATCCTACGTACATGCTGCGCTACAGGCTTCACCGACTCATCAATGTGTAGCTTAAGCTCGTAGCCCTTCAAAAGACCAACACCACTAAACAAGTGCTTGTATTTCTCTCTGACATCCCCGTCCGATCGCCCACCGTCAACACTGTTTGTCTGAAAAGGACCAATACGCAACAGGTTTAGCGCCTCGGCAGTCTCTCGGCCCAACAGCGTGCGACCATCGCCTTCAACCACCACAAAATCAGCATTACTTCCGTTTTCAAACCCAGCCAGCGTGACATCTGCCGTGAACGTTCCTAGGGTCGGTAAAGGTTCTGTACCACCATAAGCAAAAAGTTCCTTTGCAGATTTGCGAGATTCACAGTTAATCCCCTTTTGCTTTAACAACTCCCAGGTCTGCTGGCCCATAACATTACATGAAGCTCCCGAATCAATGAGAACATCGGGTACGTCTACACCACCAATGACCAGCGTTACCAAAGCGCCCCTTTGTTCCTTGCGATCATTCACCTGTTCCACTGAAAAGGCATAATCGGGTCTTTGCGAATGACCTGATGCAGCGAAATCTCCTTTGTCTTCCTCTCCAGGGCTAGGTCTTCCAGTCACGAGGTTCGTCTCTCGCCCTCCGCGTCCGCGTCCACCTCGACCCAGTCCACCAGCACTCCTGCCTCCTCTGCCGCGTCCGCCTCTGCTACTCTCAGGTCCTCTAGATCCCGAATGGGTCCTGCTTAGCTGATGGAGTCGAGGGCATTTAACTTTGAAATGGCCTGTTTCGCCGCACTTCCTGCAAGTTTGACCACGCGCCGGGCACTTTTTGTCTTGACTGAAGTGTCCTTCTTGTCCGCAGCTAAAGCACGTCTTTGCTTTCCTGGGATTTTTGTTTCCATACAGCCTGCCACCCACTGCATTGACCTGGTTATCTGCTTGGTCGGTACTGTATTGCTTCAGTTGTCGATCAACCGCTTCTTGGGATCTTGCAACACGCAACAATTCATCTAACGTAACAGTTCCTTCCTTTTCCAGAAATTTCCGGCGTAAATGGCTCGAATAACACTTGTCTATGAGCTGATCGCGAATGTAGTCATCCTCGCCGGCGCCAAAATCACAAGTCGCTGCTCGCTGACGCAATCTACAAACGAACTGATCAACTGTCTCTCCGATCCCTTGCGAAATTTGTCGAAACAAATGTCTCTCAAAGGGAATGTTCGCCTTTGGCACGAAATGGTCGTCCAACACCTTTAACGTTGCTTCAAAACTTGCATCTCCACCCTCACCAGCTAGTGTGAAATAAATTTCTTGCACATCCATACCAGCGACATGCAACAGCAAAGCACGTTTTTGAGCGTCGTTCGATACACCTTTCCCGGTCACATACAAACTGAACGCTCGCTTCCACTTCTTCCATCGCTGACTTAAATTGTGCGCCTCTCCTTTTGGATTAAATGGTTCCAATCCACTGACATCTAAAGTAACAGAAGTCATCCCAGAACCGCCAACAGCACCGCTCGTAGTACCGCTTGTCGCGTTAGTTTCGCCCGATCCACCGCCTCCCGGCATCGCTGAAATAAATCCTTGACGAAATCCTCGACGAAATCCACAGCGAGATTTTCAACGAAACTCTTGAAACCCTCGGCGAAATCCTCGAAATATCCTCGAAATATCCTCGAAATATCCTCGTCGCCAATGTAGTACCGCGGTTAGGTTAAAACACACTTTATTCACGACCGTTACACTCCGAACTCAGAACGCTAACCGACCCGAATAAATTACAACACACGCTATCTATAGTATATGCAAATTACGTAATCCCCGTGTGTGTCACATCACATTCATTCTCTCGCTTCTACGCGCTTGCATTAGCATCGTATACACTACACTGCTTCCCTCCCCCAACCCATCCCACACCCAACTTGGTGCCAGGGTTTCAAGTTATTGGCGACGGGCAGATATTCGTAATTCAAGTCAAAATCGTTCTAAAACAAATGGGTGGCGAAAAAAGCCGTCACATGCGTATATGGAAGTTGCTCACTCTTCAGATTAAGCCTTTATTCATTTTTTTTTTCCATTTAAACCTTTTTTATGTACGTCGTTGAAAAGTCGTTACCACAAATCCTTTTATTTCGAAAGTTTTAAAATACGTAACAGTGTCGATGATCAATTATTTTGTGACTACCTAGGTTATTACTTGGATGACTTTTAGCAAATCAATCCTTTTTATGATCTAATATAATAAGACTCTATATTGGTATCTTCGACAAAATAAAAGTCACGACGATCGCTTGATGGCGAAACGACGATCTTACTGAGTAAGGCGACGATCGCATTGCCATTCCGATCAAGTTAACAACCTTAGTAGTGCTTTGTAAGCTAGGAAATCTGCCAAAAACTGCACTGCATGTTCAGAATTTTTGCCTCGCTAATTAAAACCGTTTCTTATTTATTTTCTTGTTTTCGTCACCGTCCTCTTTGTTCCTCGAACTCGCTAGTAGCGTTACTATGAAGCAATTCTAGATGTGTCCCCGTTTTCTTTAAAAAGGGACGATTTAATGGGAAACGCTCGACGAAAAAGCACCGTTGCAGATACCCATAGAAAATCTCATATTGGGAGAAAACAATTCAGTGCAGACCTTAGAAATAATAATAAAGTTCACTTATGATCTCTCATCTCTCTCCGTTTTTCAGTCAAAATGGAATAGACATCTAGAGGCTTGACTATATCCTCATACAATAATGTCATTTCTTCCTTACTTAGCTTCTTCGCTGCCTCTGTGAATCGAGAATCTCGCTGTAGCTTATCTGGAATATCAGAGTTAATCTCACTGATTGTGCTACATGGTGTGCTTGTAAGTCGCGCACGCCAATATACTTTTCTTGGGTTGATGTGGTTCATTCCTCTTTCGCTGAAGCGACGTTTCGCTGGTACCTCTAAGAACGATCTCCTTTTCTTTTCTCTGTCGTTGGTAGCAGATGGGTTAGGCTGTATGATCTCAAATAACCTCATCCTGCGTTGCCTGTCTATTTCTTGAAAAACTTCTGACCAGCCTTGAAAATCTTCCAGATGAATTGTCACACTCATGACTGCAAAAATCACTCCGCCAGCAATATTGAGTGATGCTTTTATAATTATTTTGTTAGAAAAAATGTATTTGCATGTGATTAACGGCTCCTTACAAGATTCCAAGTGTTGCGCAATTTTCGCATTACTAACGTCGGTTTCTAATTAAAGTTAGGGCTTGTTACCAAGGCGTTTTGAGTCAACAGTTCAAAGTCGTTAGATACCACACGTTTTATATCCATTTCTTCTCTCTGTCGTGAGGGCAGATGGGTCAGGCTGTATGAACTAAAATAACCTCATCTTGAGTTGCCTCTCTATTAAATTCTTAAAAAAAACTTCTGAATAGATTTGAAGATCTTCCGGATGAATTGTTATCATAGAGGCAATAATAACTCCGCGAGCAGTATTGAGCAATAATTAAAAAAAATCATTTTGTTGCCAGTCAATACGAAATGTACATGAACGTGATTAGCGGCTCATTAAACACCTCTGCACGTACGTTTAAAGGCATTGCGCAATTTGCACACCTTACTGGTCTCTGTCCTTTTATCCGCCACTTAAATCAGGATTTGTAACCAGGGCGTTTTCTGTGCACAACTCGTTGGATACCACACGTTACACGGTACCACCCATTTTTCACTCACTAAAAGACCTCGTTCCCAGGGTTCTCTCAGGCTCGTAAACATCGCAACTTTACCCCTACAAACAATGTAGTTTCCTAGCCTGTATTGCGATTCAGACGCTTATCTGTGCTGTGGTTAACGTTAGTTTGCTAATTTGGCGCTACGAAAGCAGCAGCAAAGATCAAAATCAATAATCAAAAAAGGATTTTTGCTGTTTTTTTCTTTGCACGATAAACTAAGTACTCTAGACAGTGTGTAATAATTGCTACAGATTGATACTATATACATTTCCATCCGCAAATAGCAAAGGCTTATTAGATCCTTAGGTACAGGCGAATAGATAAACTATAATACTTCTTGATAATTTAGGTTGCTTCAAACAAGATTCATAACGTACAAATGCACAGTTTATTTCTAAATTTTCCAAGGCGCGAGTAAGAGGAAAAAAGGCATTTTATGCTTTCGCCATTGGGCCCGTTAATCGAAAGTCCCGGTAACTTTCGGGCTCAGAAATTCTGTTCGCTTTGCTTGCATTCAAGATCAAAGTTTCAATAATTTTCATTGAAAATTTTATTGAAAATTATACAATGAAACTATCAGTTAACAAAACAAAAGTCTTTACTGGTTTGTGAGCTAGGAACTGTGTTACTATGATTCAACAGATTTTGATTTAAAAATCTGCGTTTCGGTCCGAAAAGTTATCGGGCCTTTCGAGGAACGTGCCCCTTAAGTCTCTTATTAAAATTTTGCATATAGATCTATTTGACATGGCCGGGATAAAACTGCACATTGTATCAAAACATTATGTTTTAGTTGTTTTAAGTTTTCTTAAAAGAAACAAAGAGGTATTACACGTATCAAAACCGTTAACTTTATTCTACTGATTACTGTTACTCGGGTGTTTTTTTTTTTCTTAACAAATTAATGCTTTCTATGATTTATATTTAAAAAAAAAAAATTAAATGCAGACTTAATGTCATTATAGTCAATAGTAAAGTTCTTCATTTTCTTTCACTCATCTCTTTCCGTTTTTCTATCAAAATAGAATAGACATCCACAGGCTTAACAATGTCTTGATATAATAACGCCATTTCCTCCTTACTCAGCATTCTTGCTGCATCTGTGAATCGAGGATCTTGCTGTAGATTTTCGAGATTATCAGTGTTCATTTCACTGATCGTGGTACATGGTGAGCTTCTAAGCCGTACACGCGGGTGTTCTTCTCTTGGGATGTGGCCTCTATTTTCTCTTTCACTAAATCTTCGACGTCCCTCATTCACCCCCAAGATTGATCCTCTTTTCTCTCTGTAGCGGATAGCAGATAGGTTAGGCTTTATGATCTCAAATAACCTCATGTTGCTTTGTCTTTCTATTTCTTGAAAAACTTCTGACCAGCTTTGAAAATCTTCCAGCTGAATTGTTATACTCATGACTGAAATAATCCGCCCTCTGCGAAAAGCGTTGAGCAATACCTCAAGAATTTTTTTTGCTATGCGTGATTAATTAGCGGCTCCACAAAAGCTTCAGAGTGTTAAAGACATTGCGAAATTTTCACCTTATCAACATGGTTTTTTTTTAAATTTAAAATTAGATTTGCATCATATTAATATCGGATTTTTATCCCTAGGATGAAATTTGCATCTTATTAACATCGGGTTTTTATCTCTATCAAGGATTGGTAACCATGGCGTTTCCTGTTTCTTGGATACTATACATTACACGACGGCACCATTCAGTTTTTACCGCCAAGTTTTGTTTCAGTAGGCTGACGTCTAAACGTCAAAGTTGAAGAAATAAAACGAAACTGATTCTCACGGGCAAGAGATGGAGTTACAGGGTCACACAATAAAGCCAAAAAGGCAACTAAATTGATGAATTCACACCAAAAAAACACAGGAATACATCAAAAGTTAGTCTCCTTTATTTGTTTTATAGCCAAGGTTTAAAAAACACAAAAATAAAGAAACGGTTTACCAAACTTTTTTGTATTTTAATGTATTTATAATTTATGAATTGAGTTCGGCACAGCGGTAGCACGACGTTTGAAATCAAGTCGAGCTACTGCCGTGTAGCACGGCAAGGCTTGCGTTGTAAACGGGCCTTAGTTTATGTAATGTTAAAACACAAACCGATCGAGCCGTTTGGACTTAAATAAAACAGCAGCCCCAAAAGGCTTCTGACTACTGACTAGTTTTGCAATTCTTAAGTTTTGGATTATTTTAATTGCGGAATTTCAAACAACTGGCTTCGTTATTTTCAAGAGAAACTGCTTATCAGGTGTACCTATTTTCAGATCTGTGCCCCTCGATGCGCACAGATTATGAATGTCCAAAAGTTGGATGTACATGATCTAATTTGCGAGTTCATGGATTCTCTTTATGCATTCGAATCTTTTGATAAAGAAAAATATTTCAATTAATCCATTTATATCTTCAAGGATACTGTTCTGTATTTTCTTAAAGGAAAGCACCCTTAAGGTTATGGTTATTTATAATCTTGCGTTCTCCCAAAGAAGCGTATATCCATATTCACGGTGAAATGTACTGTTCCTCTCTTTCAGGAGAGAACACCCTCATGGCGAGTTCGGCGATCAGGAGTGGTTACAACCACAGACGATTCACAAGAGATGAAGCAGGAGGTATGTTATCAAAACTTCGCGGTCGAAGAGATTTTTCAACAATTTCTGGGTATTCTTATTCCGGAATACGACTGATCAATCGATAGTATGAAGTACATACATACATACATACATAAACTTTATTTATCCTCGGATTTTAGTGTAGCTTACATAGCTAGTATCTCCGATCCTAACTAATTTTAAAAGTTACTACATATATAATATAATATTAATTAATGTATTATTAACTAAAACCGTGCACTAACAATTTGCGCTTAAATTCACTACAATCTACAGTCTTTCTAAAGTGATCAGGTAGAGAATTCCAGTACTTAACAGATGAATAGCTAAAGGAATTTAGACCATATGTGGTTGTAGACGGCTTAGGAAGTGATAAAATATTAGTACCCCGTAGGGAGTAAGCAGTAGATCTTAACTTGATCAGTTGTTTTAAACTAAGATCTACTGCTTACTCCCTACGGGGTACTAATATAGTGTAATGGGTACATTTATTGCTTACGTATTTATTAAAGAAATTTGCCTGTGTGCAGTCTGGCTTGCCGCGATTAGCGCAGTCTTCGAGCTACTTTCAAGACAACCTAATCATCTATGTAAAAACGAAGATTCAATAAAGGTTAAAAGTTTTTTTAAATTCTTAAAAAGCAACAGCTACATCAGCGACAGAGGTTGGGTTAGGATGACTTAACGTGATTTTTATATAAAACTGGCTACTTTTTTCTCCCCACGATCGCCGCTCCCCATTACCAACCGAGGCTTGAGATAAAAAGTTCTATATTTGGCACGGCAGAGGAAGAGGAGGGGGGCAGGGGGTGGGTGGCGGTGGATGGAAGAAAGGGATCAAGGGGTAAAACCGAAACCGTTCAATAATTTTTTTATTTAGTTGATTATAACTTGGAAGGTTTTCCACAACTGTCCTGAGTTCTTTTAGCCTCAACTGGATATTATTTGCGACAATAAATGATCAATGTAATTAAATAAAACGATTTTATTAGCCAAGAAGCAAAACATAAAAAAAACTTGAACACTGTGTATAAGAAATTTTTGTATCACAGGTTTTCAATTCAAAAGAGGAAATTATAGTTCTTCGATAAATGAACGGTAAATGTAGCGAATTTCTATTGAACAAGTACAAGGATAAAATTATTAGAGATAGATTTAACCAGTATTTTGGGGGTTATTTTTAACTGTTACTTGTACTTTCCCTTAATTGCTATATTCATTTTGTCTCTCCAATTTAAATGGCTATGGAGGAATGGAGCCCCACACGAAATGCGCGCGAGCGGAGCCCCATACCTAAGAAAATTTGGTAATCCATCTATCCGAGAAATTTTGGTAATCACGTGACCGTACACCTGACCGTCCGTCCTCACCACAGGAATACCAACATAAAATAACTCAATTAACAGGTAAAACTAAATCGCTTCAATTACTCTTCCTGGAGTTGAACTCTTAAGGATTTTACTCAAAAAGAGGAAGGAAAATTCGTCGTCGTATGTCCACGTCCTCCATAAAACGTCAAATTAAGAGGTTTCACTTCGTAGTCGTTCACGTCAAAGAAATGTACTAAAAAACGTGATGCACGTGCAGAGCTGTTGTTTTGATCATTAAACCAATTGTTTTTTGAAGTTGTCGTTGTCGTCGTCGTCGTCGTCGTCGTCGTCGTCGTCGTAGTTGCTTAAAGGTGATGTTACACGGAACGATTCGCAACGACGATGTTTGGCGCAACACAGCGTTGCAATATTGGAACAATGCTGCAGCCATTCGAAACAATGTCGCAACAATGATGCAACGCTGTGTTGCGCTAAAAATCGTCGTTGTGAAACACCACCTTAACCTCCCTATTAACTCTCCAAACGAAAACGTAGCAAACACAATTGAACCAGACACTGCAGCCGCGTCCTATTGACGACTTTCTGGAATGCTGGGGATACATATGACGGAGAACATCAAAATATAGATGATAGGGTATTTAAAGAAGATCAAATTGAAAGAAGTAACGAATTCACAAGAAACACTGACCAAGCAAAGGAAGATGGAAGCACCGACTCACTATTTGACCGGTTCCCCTCAGATCTTCAAGTACATGTAAAGCCCTATCACCAGCGACTTTTACTCCAACGGAAGGAATTCTGCACAATATAACTAGGGGCACCAACCTCGTCCCCAGGGCTTAAGGGAAAAGCCCTGGGGACGAGGTTGTAGGGGCACCTTCCGGCAAGTGCCAACGAGACGAATTCGTTTATCTTTAGTGGAATGTGCCCATCCAGATCTTCGAGATTTGTAACATAAATTTGAAAGGTTTACAATGGATTTCGCTACAGAAAAGGATGGCACTCGACTTTAGCAAAAAATTGTCTACATTCTAGGCTTTCACTTCTATTAAAAAATAGCATGACTTGAAGTTTTGTTGTCTTTGTTGGTAAATTGGTGCAAGTTAGCACTTATATTTTATGGAAATTCAAAACTATAAATGTTAGAAAGTAAAATATAGTGCAAGTGAGGCCTTTGACTGCTAAGATGAAAAATTTCAATTAAATTTCGAGCTTTTTGCGATCAACGGCATCATTCAGGGATAAGAAAAATATTCTGCATGGTAATATACATATGAAAAAATTGGTGTAAGCAAAACGCTTGAAAAGCGCAAGAATGGGGCGGAATGTATCCGAAGGTATAAAAATATAAACTTGAATAAAACACAAAGATCTAATGAGTGAGTGGCACCGGACAAAGAGTCTCTGGAAAGGAAAAATGATTCATAACGATGGTCTTTAAAACAAAAGGTCCGCAAATTCGTTTCATTCGTCATGGAAGTTTGGGGCTGTCTCCAATGTAAATCAAGCTGCAAAAGAACACGTTGGTTAAAAAAAATCTCTCCAAAGGCAAAAATAACTTCTAAAAAATAATTCGCTGTATTTGTCAATTTGCAAATTGAAACTTGTCGTGCAATATTGTAAGTGAGCTTAGGCCATCCAAATAAAATGTTTGGTTTCCCAACGCCCGACCGAACCATTTTTTTTTTTTCAAAAAGTAAAAAATATATATATATATATTAGATTCACTAGTCGGAGAAGCAAGTACTTTCATTTACAAGAACACGATCTTGCTTTATAAACAACAATTGGTATGTTTTGATGTTCTGTTTTTTAATTAACATCGATACTACTTTTTTTAAAGGGCTGTTTAGACATTTGATAGTCGAAAAGACCGCGTTTTCGAGTTGACTTTGTAACCAGGCTTTCTTACTTAGCAGCCCGGCCTTCTCTGGAACCCAGACCCCTTCAAATGTTCTTTCTTTTTTTTTTTTTCTCGCCTGACCGACCGACCCACCATCACAAGAGACGGCGCCATGGGAAACGAAACATTTTATTGGGATGGCCTTAGCACTCATAAAAATGCTACAAAATAAAATATGCAAAATTTACGTCACGGAAAGGAAATTAAAAGACATATTTTTTTTTCTAGTCACGTTCTAGTTTTTTTTTTAACAATTTATGAAGTAAATATCATCCTTTTCAACGCATTTTAACCGGACTTTTTTTTTTTCAATGAAGCGGAACCGACAGAAAGTAGGTTCCTTTTTGAAAACTTAATCAAATGATTTTAAAAAGGTTTTTTAGCCTGCTAGAATTCTCGATTTACGAGAAGAGGACGTGATTTTTCGTTGTTATTTTTGCTTTAAAAAAAATTATGAAATAAAAAAAGAGAAAAAAACACAACTCTGGTCGACCAGACACTTGATCACACAATTAAGTCCCCAGTTCTATCCAGGGGTATACATGTATGTCGCTCTTG